ACATACTAAACTATATTTAACTATCTATCTCTACAAATCCCTCTTAGCCCCTCAAAATCCTCATATATCCCTTATACTCCTCAAGCTTCGCCCTTTTTCCTCAACTGTACATTCCAAATCCGACACGAAAATTAACCGACTTTTTTTTTCAAACCGTATCGTCACCTCTCCAAATGAATTACTTGTTTAACGTCTAATGATTAGTAATAGTATATAATCTTTCATTATTTATATCCATATAGAGACTATTAATTTAGAGGAATTGTAGTCCTTTGTGCAAAGTAGTGTATTTTTGTAAGTCTATCCATGCATAGACTAATACTGATTTACTCTCTTAATTCTGTTAAATCCCTCTTTAGCTATACAAAGCTTATTTATCACCTCAAATCTCTCGATTTCTCTCTTAACCTGTCCAAATCTCTCCTACTGATCTGGCTCGAAAGCGAACTCGGGCTATGGGAAATGCTCTAGGTCTGGTCTATGTCGGCGATTAATTACATCAATTTCCAGGAAAAGCCCAGGATCAAGAAAAACCGAGGAAGGTCGAAAAATGCCTAGGCATTGACTTTGTGTACAGGAAAATCCAGGCCTTGGTCCAGGCCCAGCTCTATCACTATTCAACTTGAAACAGAAAATGTTTAAGTAATAAGTAGAAAGACATGAAACTCTAAAAGTTCAAAAAGTAAGGTACGTTTCCAAGTTTAACTTCCGTTTTATTCACTTTTATTACTTGAATAAATTTTTTAAACTGAAATTTTACTATCGCGTGACTATTTAAATATTTAAAAATTAAACTTTCATTTTTTCGTTACAGCTGTCATATTAAGAAACTCAATATGCTATGTATAAGCTTGAAATATAAATTTTTTTATTAATCTAGACCATATATACCTCCTTAATTCAAAGGAATTTCAAGTTCCAATTTTTTTTTGAAATATTTTTGTAAGTCTAGCAGTGCTATGACTAATTTAAAGCAGATAGCTAATAACCTATTGTAAGGCAACTTTAGTGCCATCAACCCTCAAAAGGATCCCGTATGAGCTCTGAACGTCCTGTCTTGTAAAAGGATGATTCCTTTAAGAAGCTTAGACGAGGGTAAACAATCTAGCTCAGTGTAGAGCACCTGCATTTGTGTGAGCAAGGCGAGCAGTTCCTGCCCGGTTGCTAAACCTATGCTAAACTCCTCTTGGGAACTCTGATGGAAGATGCCATAGACACAAACTCGATTCAATCCTTAAGGCTAATAGATAAGGAATTAGCATGGTTAATAGATAAGGAATTAGTCCGTTGAATTGAGGATCCCAACTAATTGACTTTATGTATTAGCTAGGGGGAAATGTTAGCCAAGTTTAGCTTTATTAGCTAGAGATTGGTCCTCTCAAGTATATACCCTTTCCAAATGGATGACTCTCTACTTATGTCTTATAATTAGTCATAGTATATAATTATTCATTATTTCGATCCATATTAGATGTGTTGTTATTTCAAATAATCACTTCCTGACTTGTTCATCCTTGTATTTTTGTAAGTCAAGCAGTGCTATGACTAATATTGAAAAAAGTAAGGAAAAGTTTCCAGAGAGGAATTCTACCTTACTAAAAAGTATTTCTAGACCGGATCGAGACGATATCTCGACAGACTAGCTGTTATCTAGATTAATATTTCGAGAGATATCATACGATTCTCGGTGTCAATCGCAGTCCGGTCTCTAGTTCTACTTATACTCTGACAAGTATAAGTATACTGATCCGACCAAAACCTAACTAGACTTTAGTCTCAACCATTCCCATAACCTATTTAGACGATTAAATTATTCAGCTTTAAACCCTAATACATATCTTCTTAGCTATGTTCTTTAATAGCTTCCAAAAAATAACAAGTTCGAAGGACGAGCAAATCTTAATTGTACATCTCTATTTTTATTTTTAAAGTTTTTATTTTGTTAATACATATTTTGTAAATTATTACTTAATCAAAATTTAGACTATAATTTATCTATAGCGTGACTATTTAATTTTTCTAAATTCACATAACTTGTATAAATATAAACTTTAACTTCCTTTGTTTCAGCTGTCATTTCATGAAACTCAATATTCTAGTAATGCTAAATATAATTTTTTTATTATTCTGGTTCTCATATACATTATTAATTTAAGAGTTTCAAGATTTATCTTACAGTTGTCTTCGGGTGTATTTTTGTAAGTCTATCAGTGCATAGACTAATATTATGTTTTAGCAAACAGTAGTTATCTGAAGAATTAAGACCTCTTTATTAGATTTGCTTATCTTATTTTTGTTCGAGAACTCTCGGCTCATTTCTAACGGCCCATTCCACCGGGTAGGAATAAGATAGAGAGAGGTAAAAGTTTAGCTCAAGACCTCATTCCTGTTATTGCTAGTTGTTTTCCTCACCACGTACAAGTGCTCTAAAGACTGAGCTACTGACGGCTCTTCAGAGTGAATATTACAGTAGTATTTTCCGTCTGAACACTGAGCTAATCAAGTTCCAAGGCAAATATATAAAATATATGAAATTAGATTTAATAATCGTTATAAATTTATTCATATATTTATAATCCGTTGTAGCTTGTCGAGTCTTGTCCATTTATTTTTGGAAGCTGTGCAAGACACTAGCTAAAAACTAAACATAAACTACCTAATTAACTTATTCTAGCCCTTATAAACAAGTTTATTTTTTTTCCTGACATATAAAAACATAAATAACACAATTAAATGAATAAAATATTGTTATTATTTGTCTGTAAATGCTAATAATTATTAGCTTTAAGGTGCACATTAGCCCTTGTTACCCTGCGATAAGTGAAGAAAAATAGCATTGAAATGAGAAGAGCGGATTAATTCACTTTTTTTGAATGTTCAATATAAAAGTTAAAAAGTTAAAACTTTTACATTAGCTTAAGGCGGATAAACTAGCCCAGTCCAGCTTTATTAGATTTATAAAGGCCCTTTGCACTAGAAATCCCTTTCGACTTTAAATCCCCCTCCCCCATTTTATTTATGTCTAATAATTAAACATCGTATATGATCTTACATTATTTGCTCTATATATCCTTTATTAAATGGTTCAAGTCTGTAAATAAACCGGAAGGAAGTGTTATTTTTGTAAGTCTATCCATGCATAGACTAATACTGAGTTACGTGTTTCATGCAATATTACTTCCCTGCCCCTTTAAAAATACACACTTTTTGATGAGGGTTGAAAAATAGTATTCCCCTTGGATTAGTGCTCCCCCTTAAATAATAATTGAGGGCTATTCTAAAGAGTAGTGCCCACTAGAATAGTACATACTAAACTATATTTAACTATCTATCTCTCCAAATCCCTCTTAGCCCCTCAAATTCCTCCTATATCCCTCTGACTCCTCAAGCTTCGCCCTTTTTTCTCAACTGTACATTCCAGATCCGACATAAAAATTAACCGACTTTTTTTTCAAACCGCATCATCACCTCTCCAAATGGATTACTTGTTTAACGTCTAATGATTAATAATAGTATATAATCTTTCATTATTTATATCCATATAGAGACTATTAATTCAAAAAAATTATAGTCCTTTGTGCATAGTAGTGTATTTTTGTAAGTCTATCAATGCATAGACTAATACTGAGTTATTCTCTAAATTCTGTTAAATCCCTCTTTAGCTCTCCAAAGCCTAGTTAACACCTCAAATCCATCAATTTCTCTCTTAGCCTGTCCAAACCACTCCTCCTGATTCGACCCGAAAGCAGACCTCGTGCTTGGGGAAATGCTCTAGGTCTGGTCTAGTTTGGCGTTTAATTTTTGACTTTAGTGATTGACATTTTTGAAAAGCCTGGACCTGTTCCTGGGTGCGGGTTTGATTTATTGTACTGGGCCGGATCCTCGATCTGTAGTCCAGGAAAAGCCCAGGATTAAGAAAACCCGAGGAAGGTCGAAAAATGCCTAGGCATTGACTTTGTGTACAGGAAAATCCAGGCCTTTGTCCAGACCCAGCTTTATCACTATTGGACTTGAAAAAGGAAATGTTCGAGTAATTGTTAGTTAAACACGAAACCCTAAAAGTTCAGAAAGTAAGGTAAAATTGTCCTTAAGGTTGTTTCCAAGTTTAACTTCCGTTTTACTCACTTTTATTAGTTGAATAAATTTTTTTTTAAAAAATTTAACTATCGCGTGACTATTTAAATAATTAAAAATTCACACGCTTTTCTATTTCAATTAAACTTAAATTTTCTTTCGTTACAGCTGTCATATTAAGAAACTCAATAACTATTAATTATTTCTAGACCGGATTGAGACTATATCACGAACAAACTAGCTGTTATCTAGATTAATATTCTTAGAGATAGATCATAAGATTCTCGCGTTACTAGCAGTTGGGTCCCAAGTAAAGTTGGTTGTAAAGCAGATCCAAAGAATATTTCCACAGCATTAACGATTCTTGCTGTCAACTTTCAATTTACTCTAACAAATTTTAAACTAAAATTTATCTTTCGCGTGTCAAGTTAATTTATAAAAAAATTTATACGCCTTTCTATAGATAATTAAACTTAATTTCCTGTTTAAGCAGTCATTTCATGAAACTCAATATTCTTAAACATTAAATATAATTTTTTTAATTTTCTGGTCCTCATAAACATTATTAATTTTTATTAAATTTGGACGTTTGAAGAGTAGATTGAGTGTATTTTTGTAAGTCTAGCAATGCTATGACTGATTGTAAAATTCTCTTTCAGCCGTCTATAAGACTTTAGTCTCAATCACCACGTAGATACCCCGTTAATTTTTAATTCAATCGAGGTCAAGTCGAGACCTAACCCTATTTATTAATACCCACTCCAACGTGAATGTGGAGAAATAATACATTATCATACGATACTCGTTGAAACTCTCAGTCTGGTCTCTAGTTATTTAATGCCTTCAAAAGATATTTTATTCAATCGCAAACATTATCTTGAAAATACTAGAGACCGGACTGGGAGTGCCCATTAAAAATTTTAGAAATGAGTTTAGATTTAAATTCTTCAGAAACTCATGGAATCGTTGGATTAATAGATCATTTAAAATTTCGAATGTTCTGCTGCAGCAATGATCGCCGCTTCAATTTCTACCGAAACGAGGCCGAGAAAAGGGAAATATTGCGGAGGGCACGTACTATTGACGAAGAAATTGAAAATGAAAAATTGTCGTTTAAAAAGACGTTGAAAATACTTTTGTTGGGTATGTTATACGGTCAGAACTTGGGTTGGGGGGAAAGATCCGGCCCGGTTCAACGATCAAGTCGGGCATCAAATTACGGCCCGAAAAAGACTCGGTCGGGCCGGCCCGATGAAAACTGGTGCCGAAAAATATGACACGAACGTTGGCCTGACTTGTAAACCCCAAACTAGTCAGAACTACTCTGAGATAACCCTCTGTAGAGTTACTTAAGACACCATTCCCAATTCTTGAATAGTTTCGGCGTGGTTTGACACAACTGCGGCCTAAAAAAATTTTTTCTATACTATTGGTACCATTAAGATTATAGAATTTACAGCCTCGAACAGGGCTAGTACCTTTGAGACTACTGGTATTATTATCGAAATAACCCATTTGCCGAATACTACTAGTGAAGTGAGGTGTATTGGATTAATTATACAGAGAAATTCAATGAAAATTTTTGTTTAATATTAATTTATATTTAATTGACTTGTTACAAATAGTAGCTAAATACTATTCGGCAGTTCTGTTTCCAATTTTGGGCGGTTGTTTTATTTTTTGGATACCAAAACACTATTTGGTAATAAATTTATTTGTACTTTCTAGGTGGTCCAGAAAGTGGCAAAAGCACTATATTTAAGCAAATGAAGTAGGTTTTTCTAAATCTAATTTGAATTTAGTAGGGGAAGGGGTTTCCCGAGGAGGTCATTGCCCCGACGTGAATAGAAAATAATCCTCTTTCACAAACATGAATTCCCCGGAACACCCATTCTCCGTGGAATACCATTCCGGAACAGGCATCCCCATTCCCACAAAATTCGTTATAAAGCAGTAATATTAAAATAACTATTGGCAATTGAAATAGTATAACAATAAAACTGAATTCAAAAAATTAGCCTAAGCGCTGCTAGGCTTTCAAAAATACATTGACTGGAATTCTTCGAATTATCCGACTAAATTCTAAGAATCTCTTATACAAAACTTTATAAATTAATTAATATTAAGTAAATTATTTTTAAAGAATTCTACATATGAACGGCTTTACTGACATTGATTTGCTCAATTATCGCTATCTTGTTTATAGCAATTTAATTCAGGGAATTAACCAATTAATTGAAGGAGCCAAATTAATGGAGATTGAGATTACTAGTGATGTTGTGGTTGGTTTATTTGTTTAATTAGAACTTTCCAGATATACCCTACCCTGTCTCCCTTTGGCATCGCATACCCTATCATCTTTCTTTTTTGGAGGAAAAACTCGATTATATTTATGTAATAGTGGTAGCTCATTAGAAAGAGCTCGTCGAGTGGAGGAAAATCATTATCAATCATACTATTCGAGATACACATCTTGTTTATCTTGGAGACCAAACCCGAAAAACAGCCCGTTTGGAGTTCATTTTTATTGTTTTTCCCACGTCTGATCGGCACCATTCGGCTCCACTTCCCCTGTGCTTTCAGTTTAGTGGAAACTTGATTATAGTACAGATAGCTCATCTAGAAGAGCTCTGAGCTGGGTTGAATGATATAAATTATCTTGATTCGAAGATTCTGAACAAAATTTTGTATTCTTATTAGGGTAACATTTATGATTTGTTAGTTGAGTTCATTTAACAGGAGATACATTTGTTGAGAATCGAGATTGCAAAAGATATCTATCTCGATTCTCGACGAGTCTCACAGTTCGGCTTCTACTTAAAGCCAAAACCTTACAGCTTAATAACATAATTACGTGGGGTAATCCGAAGTGTACTAAGCAGAGTGTGACATTTTTATTAGAGTTCGAACCCGGGCCGGGCCCGGACCGGTTTTTTCCGGGCCCGGTGGCCCGGAACCGGGTATTTTTGAGAAAATCCGGTTTTTCCGGGCTAACCGGTTTTTCCGGTTTTATCCGGAAAAACCGGCCCGGGTGCGATCTTGAGTAAAAAAACCGGGTCCCGGGCCCGGTAATTTTTTGCCGGGCCCGGAAAGTCGCCGCCGGTGGTGAAAAAGGAAGAAATCTGGCCTCTTGGCCATTAGAAATTCTCAAAATTTTCGCCTGCGGCGCTGAAAAAGAAGAAATTTTGCTCCTTGGCCTTCCAAAATTCTGAAAATTTTGCCTGCGGCGCTAGAAAAAGAAGAAATCTAGCTCCTTGTCCACACAAATTTTATAATACCGGCCCTGGAGGTTATCGAAAAAATAACCCACGGGGGCTATTCCAGAGAAAATACGGTATTTCAAAAATTGCGGACTGCGGATTTTAAAATTAAAATTGCGGATTGCGGCTGCGGAAAATTTTTTCACTTGCGGACACCCCTGCTATCTATCTTTAGCGCATCTATTCTTTGATTCATCTATCCTTTAATCGATTCTTTGTATGTTTTCCGATCCTTTGTATGTGGGATAATTTTTTTATGTTTTTAATAAATTTAGAAAAAACCGGGTCCGGGCCCGGGTCTGAAAAAATCCGGTTTTTCCGGGCCAACCGGTTTTTCCGGTTTTATCCGGAAAAACCGGTCCGGGTGCGATTTTGATAAAAAAAAACCGGGTTCCGGGCCCGGCATTTTGAAAAGTTCGAACTCTAATTTTTATACCAATCCCCGTTTCAAGTCAAGCAATTTTGCTGATCCCCCATAAAATTTGAATAAATTAAAAAAATAATTTTCAAAAATTAAAGGAAGATGTAGCAACAATAACTAATTATTACCAAACTACACATCCTGCAGAATTAGAATTAACTCCAATGCTGGCTTTGCATATTAGAAGGGTATACAAATCTGAATTTATAGTGAAAACGCTTAAAAAACAACATGAAATTGTGCTGCTTGACTCTGCTGTCTAGTAAAATTTTTATAATTTTTTAGAAAACTCATTGAAATTATACTTCCATAAGCTTATTTATATGCCTAGTAGTGAGTCTATGATAAGCGTGTACCAAAAATCGCATTAACGGGCCAAATTTGTTGAAAATACGCAAATTTACTCCTTATTTAAAACTAATTTATAATCCCTTAATATATGTCAAATATGTAAATTTGTTCGATAACTTTGCACTTCTTATTGATGTATTTTTGTAAGCTTAAGCAATGCTTTAGCTAAAGCTTTTTTGCAATTAAATTTTGTGGACAAAAAACTCCTAAAAATTCTTAAAAATTTGGATCGAATAGCAGACTAGCTGTAACTCTCCCCAAATTGATAGGAAAACACCATAGATTTACTCCTTATTTAAAAAAATTTATAATTTCTTAGTAAAATAGTAAATTAAATTTGATAAAAAAAATCACCACTGTGCCATTTGATTATTTTTTAGAGAGCGAGCTGGATCTGGATCCAGACCTTGATTTTTCCTGGATCCAGAGTCCAGATCAAGGCATTTTTCAGAGTTCCTTGATTTTTCCTTGACCTTGATTTTTCCTTGACTCAAGGTCAAGAATCTGGTCAAGGTACCCAAACAAAATCAAGAATCAAGGTCAAGGTCAAGGCAAATTTTTTCCTTGATTTCCTTGATTAATTTTCCCCCCAATATATCAACAAAATGCCATTAAAATCGTGTTTTTTCTCCTTCAGAATGTAATTGGCGAAGCATTTTTCTTTCTCTCTATGTATGTTTTCTATTCTATTTTTTATGCAGACCTATTATATTTTCTTGCGGTACACCTCAATTGACGATTGAGTATTAGGGTTCAGCGGTATCGGGATCCCGACCGGTATCGGGCGGTATTATACCGGTCTCTGAATACCGATACCGATTTTACTGATACCGATATCTATTGGCTCCTGAGATGTTTTTGTCTCGAAAATAGCTTTATAGTGCTAATTTATCATCTTACTACTGATTAAAACCTTTTTCAAAATGCAGAATGAATTTATTTATTAAAGATTAAAATTAATAAAAAAAATTTTTAGGAAATACCGATACCGATTTTTAAATCCCGATCCCGGGTCGGTATCGGTACCGGTATCAATAACTCAAATCCCGATACCGATTTAGGCTAATCCCGATCCCGAGTCGGTACCGGTATCGGGATCGGTATCATCAATCCGAAATACCGATACCGTTTTTTTCTCGGAATACCGGTACCGCTGAACCCTATTGAGTATATATACTTTAGTTAGTCCCCATCAAGGATGTAGCCTCCTGGTATTCCCTTGGTCCCCATGGAGGGATAAGGATTAAAGTGATAAAGTGGATGTGGACGATATACGTGAATATCCTAGGATGTGAACGGATATATGGGGATATCCGCGGATGTGGACGAATATACGGAGATCCACGGATATCCCCGTATATCGTCCACATATCCCTCTTAATCCCCTGATATCCTTCAAATCCCCCAAATACACAATATCACTGTTACGCCCTCTAAAGCTCAGATATTCAACTCAGTCCACCGATATCCTTTAATCGTCTAAAATCCTCTTATATTCCTCGATATCCGGTCAAATCTGCTTCCATATCCACTTAATCCCGCAATATCTCTATATCCTATAATATCCGCCTTTAAATACCAGCATATCCCACTTAATCTCCTGATATACGTCCAAATAAAAAAAATCAAGAATCAAGGCCTGGATCCAGGCAAAAATAATCCTTGATTTTTCCTTGACCTTGATTTTTCCTTGACTCAAGGTCAAGAATCTGGTCAAGGTACCCAGCTGAAATCAAGGTCAAGGATCAAGGTCAAGGTTTTTTGAAAATCTCGCTCTCTATTATTTTTGCAAGCTAAGCAATGCTTAAGCTAAAAATAAAGTTTAACGACATTATCGTAGAAAAGAAAAAAATTTAACTAAATAAAACTTCCATTTTTTTAGTTTCCTTGAAAATTTGGATCGAATAGCAGAAAATGATTACAAACCAAATCATCAGGTAGAGTAATTTGTATTTCTTCCTTATTTTAATTTTGAAGGATATCTTGCGCTCAAGAGTACCAACTACGGGTATCTGTGACATTGAATTTAAATACAAGAATATGTCCTTGAGGTATTTTTTTGATATAGATTTGGATCTCGTTCATATACATATGTTGGCGGCAAATTTCATTTTCAAAAATTTTAAACTTGTTCCTTCTATGGAATATAATTCCATAAAAAATGTAAGGTTTTGGGTCGGGTTTTGGAATTTTTCTCGGGGTTGGGTCAAAAAAGCTCCGGATTTCGGGTGAACCTTGCCATCCCTGATATATACTCCTCGATGGACAGAAACTTGATACTAAGATTAGACGTGTACACACTGATGTACGCGAACCCAATGTACAGCCGTACTATAACCGCTAAAATTTATTGAATCCGGGACGCCATGTATGGCTCAATGCGCATTGGTGAGCTAAATCGAAATATACCAAGGCGTCTCAGATTCGATAATTTTGAACAAAGTTATAGCATGGCAGTACATTGCCTGTTAACGATTAGACAAATATAAATCAGGAGATCAATGGAAATCTGTTGTATTTAAATAGCCTTAAAAGCATCAAATTTAGAATGGTCGATGTTGGTGGCCAAAGATCAGAGCAACGCAAATGGATACATTGTTTTGGTGAATTTATTAAGTTTAAAAAAGCCCTCTAGCTTAGAAGATTTGTAAAGGTAACTAAGTTTCCTCTCCAGCCTAGCTTATTAAGCAAAATTGAAAACCATCAAGCCCCGTATAACATGAACGAAGAACGAACAACTTGGGAACGGAGAACTCTCACAATCTAATCAAAGTTCCAGACAAATAAAAAATCAGTTTTTAGCTGAACATTATCAGCTTCCAAAAAATTACGGACACTCCGAATGATACGTACTTGCGTGTATCAAATAAAATTTAATATCAAAAATAAGATAATAATATAATAGATAACATGTAGTAATAAAGCTTGAATTATGTCATCCCTATGTTTCGGGAATTTATCGAAATTTTCTAAGACCAATACCGATCCAATCCTTAAGTATTTTTGGAAGAGTTTTACCGTATTACTTTATCATGTATAATATTACTACTTTGACATTTTTATCAAAGAACACTTTGATTTACAAAAATACGTAATTTCTCCTAGTCCATTTTTTTTCTTACGTTGAGGTATTATTCAATTTTCCGCCTCCTTTTAACTTTCGGTCCTTCTTCTAACTTAAAATTGCGAAGGACCCATCCCTCATGTATACATATAACATAGCGAGCGTGAACCATGTAAGACCAATGAAATAGTAAGAACGGTAAAATCCACCATTTCCTGGGACGGGATCAGCCCGTTAAGTAGCTAAAGTTAGTTATAATTAACTTATTATTATGTTGATACTTGTCAAAGAACGATTTGACATCCAAAAATAAAGCGTGTAGCGAATCGTAATAACAGTGAACGGAATTATATTATCGTTAAATTAATCAAAGTTTAAATAAATTAATACATATTATTCTAATTATGCTAAGACACGCTTATCTCAGACAATTTCTTATCCCCAAGTGTTATCTGGTTTTGGAATTTTCCTGCTTTCACCTCCCGACTACTCATCCTTTTTGACAGTTCTATCTAATTTTTAGATAACGTCAATGGTGTCCTTTTCGTAGCTGAACTTTCTGGATATAACCAAATGTTGTTTGATGGAGAACAAACAGTCAATAGACTAAAATATAGCTTATATCTGTTCAAAAGGATTGTGAATAACAAGTTTGGAATTTTTAAATATCCAAAAATTATTTAAAAAATTTTCAGAGCTTTTGGTAAAAGAACGGCCATTATTCTTTTTCTTAATAAGGTAATAGTTAACTAGCGGGGACACAACAATCCAATACTCCTAGTCTTGACAAAACTAAAAGCATAATATTAAATAATTGAATTTTTAAATTATAAGTTTGAGAGAATTTTTTGTTTTGTCAGAGGCGACATGGACATTCCAAACATCTCATTTTTTGGAAGCCAATTAATATTGGCTAAATTTTACTGGCACACAAAAAAAGAATTTTTCATTTAGGTGGACATTTTTAAAGAGAGATTGGCTATATTTCCTCTCGATGTATGCTTCAGAGCCTATTCTGGTATATATTTAAAGTAGTGGTTTAAATGAACTGATCCATTCGATAGATGCTTGAGTCGATGTTTAGCTATAGCAAGGATATTTGGGGAGAGGGGGGGGGGGTGGATTCCGTTATCGACTGAATCCGTTATTTTCTGTGCTCTTCTTCTTTATTTCCGTGTGTTCTCTTTCGATTTCAGACTCTTCTAAAAATTCGGCAGTATCCATTAAGGTTGTCGGATCGGGATCCGAAAAAACTGAGTATCCAAAATTTTCTGTTCGGATACAGAATCCAAATCCGGATATCCGAGGATTTCCAACTATCCGATAACCTTAGTATCCAGCACTGGTAGATGTATTTCTTAACGCTTATCTAAAACTTTTTTATCCCAATTTCGAAATTTACTCTCAATATCAATTTTTATGTTAATTTATAGTCAAATACATATTAAGCGACTCAGGTATTAAATTGATACTCGTTGACCATGCTAATATTTTTGGGAGCCAAGCTATGTCTAGGCTAGTATGATAGTCGTTTTGCAAAATTATCAGACATTTTCATTGAGTTAATTGTCAACCTCATCTCAGAAAATAGAAAAACTTTATTAAAACACTTTTTAGGGGAGAACGAGTTTGACGCAACAGCAAATTATGTATCAGACAGATTCCATTCTGTTGTAGCACAAAACATGACTGAGGTGAAGACTGTATATACCCATTACACAAATGCAACCGATACAAGGAACATAGACAGGGTAAATTTAAAGAGCTTAAGCTGTCTAGCAGATTTACATCCACTGAGTCGCAGATTCTAACTCAGAGCCTTCCCCCATCTGCCGCGAGTTCTTCCTCACCCTCACTCAGAGCCAGGACTAAACTACACAAAGGACTAAAACTTCACCATCCGCCTATCAGAACCTAAAATCGGTCAGACTTTAAAAGACTGTATGATAAAGGATCTCGCTTAAATGCGTATGTATTTTTCAGCCAAAATTAAATAAGAGGAAGGACAATTGAAAAGCCGTGTCTATAATATAATTTTTTACATTATTTTAAGACTTAATATTAAGTACCATTGTGAATTAATACACAAAAAAAGCAGCACATCTCCGTATATTTTTGCAAGCCAGGCAATGCTTAGGCTAAATAATAATACAAAAATATTAAAAAAGTTGTGCGTTGATCTTTCCCTTATGAAATAACTTGTGGATAAATCTGAGCGATTTTTGGATCAAAAGGATTCCCTACTAATGACTATTTTATTCAAGGTATTCGAATCCTGCGTCGACGTTGTTTTCCGAGTCAGTATGGAGAAGGTTGGACTAAAATGAAAAAATTTTTCTAAAATAGCTGATAAATTGATAAAATTTTAAATGAATATTTCTTTAAATTTTATCATTTTTAATTATTCAGGCTGCATTGATGTAAATAAAATATCAGGAATTAATTCGAATAGTGCGATTGTTGGAATAAAATTGAAATAAAATTTTATATTATCTCAAAGTCGGATCACAATACAATTTATTTTACGGTCGTGAGACTCTTTTCACGGGGAAAGGGTCTAGTTTACGGTCGTGAGACCCTTTTCATGGTCGCGGGGGTTTTTTCCACGGTGTAAGGACGTTGGTACGAAATCTAAAATGAGAAATGCCTAGATGTCACACCCCTGCTTTAAAGATACCGTTTAAGATTGAGGTGCCCGATATATAGGTCCCTGAAAATTGAACAAACCTAGGGCGCCGTGTTCAGTTGATCAAACAAATGCTGTTTGATCTGAGTATTTAATATTGGGGTATCTTATATTGAGGTCCGACTGTATTTTAATTATTATTGAACTAATTATTCTACGTGTTTTATCAAAAGATTAAATAAACATTTTTTATTTATGAACATTTATTTAAAAGGTATAATCAAATTTAATTGTATAAATTAGGTTTTTGAACATTATGTGCTTTTTGATAAAAGGATACGGATTATTTTAAAATGCGGATTTAGAATTTTGGGTCGCTTAAAGATTATACGGGTTTTTACATAATATAAAACAATATGAGTTGGAACCATGGAAGGTTCTAGCCAACTTGCTCGTATGAAAGTACATTAAAAGCTGTCCCTAAAAATGTTGAACCGAATTAATATACTTTCAATACCCCAAAATTATAATCCTTGGAAGAAAAACCCCTAAATTAATTGGGGTAAAACAAAATTTTTTTCAAAAATCTTACCGTATATAGAGTATCGATAGCTCGTATGAAAGTACATTAAAAGCTGTCCCTAAAAATGTTGAACCGAATTAATATACTTTCAATACCCCAAAATTATAATCCCTGGAAGAAAAACCCCTAAATTAATTGGGGTAAAACAAAATTTTTTTCAAAAATCTTACCGTATATAGAGTATCGATAGCTCGTATGAAAGTACATTAAAAGCTGTCCCTAAAAATGTTGAACCGAATTAATATACTTTCAATACCCCAAAATTATAATCCCTGGAAGAAAAACCCCTAAATTAATTGGGGTAAAACAAAATTTTTTTCAAAAATCTTACCGTATATAGAGTATCGATAGCTCGTATGAAAGTACATTAAAAGCTGTCCCTAAAAATGTTGAACCGAATTAATATACTTTCAATACCCCAAAATTATAATCCTTGGAAGAAAAACCCCTAAATTAATTGGGGTAAAACAAAATTTTTTTCAAAAATCTTACCGTATATAGAGTATCGATAGCTCGTATGAAAGTACATTAAAAGCTGTCCCTAAAAATGTTGAACCGAATTAATATACTTTCAATACCCCAAAATTATAATCCTTGGAAGAAAAACCCCTAAATTAATTGGGGTAAAACAAAATTTTTTTCAAAAATCTTACCGTATATAGAGTATCGATAGCTCGTATGAAAGTACATTAAAAGCTGTCCCTAAAAATGTTGAACCGAATTAATATACTTTCAATACCCCAAAATTATAATCCTTGGAAGAAAAACCCCTAAATTAATTGGGGTAAAACAAAATTTTTTTCAAAAATCTTACCGTATATAGAGTATCGATAGCTCGTATGAAAGTACATTAAAAGCTGTCCCTAAAAATGTTGAACCGAATTAATATACTTTCAATACCCCAAAATTATAATCCTTGGAAGAAAAACCCCTAAATTAATTGGGGTAAAACAAAATTTTTTTCAAAAATCTTACCGTATATAGAGTATCGATAGCTCGTATGAAAGTACATTAAAAGCTGTCCCTAAAAATGTTGAACCGAATTAATATACTTTCAATACCCCAAAATTATAATCCTTGGAAGAAAAACCCCTAAATTAATTGGGGTAAAACAAAATTTTTTTCAAAAATCTTACCGTATATAGAGTATCGATAGCTCGTATGAAAGTACATTAAAAGCTGTCCCTAAAAATGTTGAACCGAATTAATATACTTTCAATACCCCAAAATTATAATCCTTGGAAGAAAAACCCCTAAATTAATTGGGGTAAAACAAAATTTTTTTCAAAAATCTTACCGTATATAGAGTATCGATAGCTCGTATGAAAGTACATTAAAAGCTGTCCGTAAAAATGTTGAACCGAATTAATATACTTTCAATACCCCAAAATTATAATCCTTGGAAGAAAAACCCCTAAATTAATTGGGGTAAAACAAAATTTTTTTCAAAAATCTTACCGTATATAGAGTATCGATAGCTCGTATGAAAGTACATTAAAAGCTGTCCCTAAAAATGTTGAACCGAATTAATATACTTTCAATACCCCAAAATTATAATCCTTGGAAGAAAAACCCCTAAATTAATTGGGGTAAAACAAAATTTTTTTCAAAAATCTTACCGTATATAGAGTATCGATAGCTCGTATGAAAGTACATTAAAAGCTGTCCCTAAAAATGTTGAACCGAATTAATATACTTTCAATACCCCAAAATTATAATCCTTGGAAGAAAAACCCCTAAATTAATTGGGGTAAAACAAAATTTTTTTCAAAAATCTTACCGTATATAGAGTATCGATAGCTCGTATGAAAGTACATTAAAAGCTGTCCCTAAAAATGTTGAACCGAATTAATATACTTTCAATACCCCAAAATTATAATCCTTGGAAGAAAAACCCCTAAATTAATTGGGGTAAAACAAAATTTTTTTCAAAAATCTTACCGTATATAGAGTATCGATAGCTCGTATGAAAGTACATTAAAAGCTGTCACTAAAAATGTTGAACCGAATTAATATACTTTAAATACCCCAAAATTATAATCCTTGGAAGAAAAACCCCTAAATTAATTGGGGTAAAACAAAATTTTTTTCAAAAATCTTACCGTATATAGAGTATCGATAGCTCGTATGAAAGTACATTAAAAGCTGTCCCTAAAAATGTTGAACCGAATTAATATACTTTCAATACCCCAAAATTATAATCCTTGGAAGAAAAACCCCTAAATTAATTGGGGTAAAACAAAATTTTTTTCAAAAATCTTACCGTATATAGAGTATCGATAGCTCGTATGAAAGTACATTAATAGCTGTCCCTAAAAATGTTGAACCGAATTAATATACTTTCAATACCCCAAAATTATAATCCTTGGAAGAAAAACCCCTAAATTAATTGGGGTAAAACAAAATTTTTTTCAAAAATCTTACCGTATATAGAGTATCGATAGCTCGTATGAAAGTACATTAAAAGCTGTCCCTAAAAATGTTGAACCGAATTAATATACTTTCAATACCCCAAAATTATAATCCTTGGAAGAAAAACCCCTAAATTAATTGGGGTAAAACAAAATTTTTTTCAAAAATCTTACCGTATATAGAGTATCGATAGCTCGTATGAAAGTACATTAAAAGCTGTCCCTAAAAATGTTGAACCGAATTAATATACTTTCAATACCCCAAAATTATAATCCTTGGAAGAAAAACCCCTAAATTAATTGGGGTAAAACAAAATTTTTTTCAAAAATCTTACCGTATATAGAGTATCGATAGCTCGTATGAAAGTACATTAAAAGCTGTCCCTAAAAATGTTGAACCGAATTAATATACTTTCAATACCCCAAAATTATAATCCTTGGAAGAAAAACCCCTAAATTAATTGGGGTAAAACAAAATTTTTTTCAAAAATCTTACCGTATATAGAGTATCGATAGCTCGTATGAAAGTACATTAAAAGCTGTCCCTAAAAATGTTGAACCGAATTAATATACTTTCAATACCCCAAAATTATAATCCTTGGAAGAAAAACCCCTAAATTAATTGGGGTAAAACAAAATTTTTTTCAAAAATCTTACCGTATATAGAGTATCGATAGCTCGTATGAAAGTACATTAAAAGCTGTCCCTAAAAATGTTGAACCGAATTAATATACTTTCAATCCCCAAAATTATAATCCTTGGAAGAAAAACCCCTAAATTAATTGGGGTAAAACAAAATTTTTTTCAAAAATCTTACCGTATATAGAGTATCGATAGCTCGTATGAAAGTACATTAAAAGCTGTCCCTAAAAATGTTGAACCGAATTAATATACTTTCAATACCCCAAAATTATAATCCTTGGAAGAAAAACCCCTAAATTAATTGGGGTAAAACAAAATTTTTTTCAAAAATCTTACCGTATATAGAGTATCGATAGCTCGTATGAAAGTACATTAAAAGCTGTCCCTAAAAATGTTGAACCGAATTAATATACTTTCAATACCCCAAAATTATAATCCTTGGAAGAAAAACCCCTAAATTAATTGGGGTAAAACAAAATTTTTTTCAAAAATCTTACCGTATATAGAGTATCGATAGCTCGTATGAAAGTACATTAAAAGCTGTCCCTAAAAATGTTGAACCGAATTAATATACTTTCAATACCCCAAAATTATAATCCTTGGAAGAAAAACCCCTAAATTAATTGGGGTAAAACAAAATTTTTTTCAAAAATCTTACCGTATATAGAGTATCGATAGCTCGTATGAAAGTACATTAAAAGCTGTCCCTAAAAATGTTGAACCGAATTAATATACTTTCAATACCCCAAAATTATAATCCTTGGAAGAAAAACCCCTAAATTAATTGGGGTAAAACAAAATTTTTTTCAAAAATCTTACCGTATATAGAGTATCGATAGCTCGTATGAAAGTACATTAAAAGCTGTCCCTAAAAATGTTGAACCGAATTAATATACTTTCAATACCCCAAAATTATAATCCTTGGAAGAAAAACCCCTAAATTAATTGGGGTAAAACAAAATTTTTTTCAAAAATCTTACCGTATATAGAGTATCGATAGCTCGTATGAAAGTACATTAAAAGCTGTCCCTAAAAATGTTGAACCGAATTAATATACTTTCAATACCCCAAAATTATAATCCTTGGAAGAAAAACCCC